TGTTCAATGATCTACTTTAAAACATGATGGTGCCTGAATTTTTTTTTTATCTATGTATCACCCTCTTATCTTACAGAATTCAGGATATATCACAAGTTGTGTTCTCATTGTGACTTAAAAAGCTGACTTTGAATGGAAGTGAGAAGACGCAAGCACATACTTTCACATCACGGGAAAATAGTGCAATGGAACTAAATCGCTGACCCTGATTGTGACAAAATCGCCAGTTTATTTATTGGTAATCAAACCTTTGTGAGCTAACCATCTTATCGCCTGTTGTGTTGACTTTGTTTTCCTCAATTTAACAGTATTATCGGGCTTTACCAATCCTGTTTGTCAATACTGTTGCACTGAAAGGGTACAATTCATGTATTAAAAAAAGTAAGATTCCTGGCTAGCAGATATTTAAAAAGATGATCACTCTTAGCTGCATAGTTCTTATCTTAGTTGAGTAATGTCTTTCTGTGGCCACGTTAAAAGAAAATTTAAATGGCATGTGTCGAACGAAAGTCCTTTTTTTAAAATTTAGTTATGGTTGATTGCTGCTTCATTTTGATCTCATGTAGTATGAAGCTCTGAATTATCTTGTGTTTATTATGCTCAACGTATGTTGTTAATTTTTTCCCTGTGAGTCCAGTTTCTGTGCTTTAGCAAAGGAAAGGGCCGTTCTAGTTCCACAATAGTTTCTCTTGTCATATTGTCTAAGTGACTGGGTTATCCATTGAAAATGTATTGTTTTGTAGCCACCTATGTGACTGAGAGTTGAGTAGACTTCTTTTGTGGTGCTGTATTTGGTAAATTTTGTTTTGAGGCAAGTCTGATCTCTTACTGTGTTACAAGATAATTTGAACAACAGTTCTCGATTCCAAATATTTTGTTGAAGGCGTTGTGATCAATTTTAAATCCTCTGTTGTGACCTCTCAAGTTTTTCCTGGTTGTAGTCAAAACCTTAACTTACCACTGTATATTTTTTTCAATTTGGTATCATGACAGTGCTATTTTTGTCAAATTTACAACACCTGGATGTAGTTTAGACTGATAATTGTGCCTTTTGATCCTAGCCTATTTCTTACCTTGTGTTGATCTTGGCCTGACATTTCTCCT